AATAAACATAAGATAAAAAAATTTACAGAAGAAAAAAAATTTAAATCAAAAAAAGCGTCTTAATAGTTTTAAATTTTTAATTTCCTTGTTAACAAAAATTTATTATGATATAAATGTATTGTTTGTTTGAAAATAAATTACTTTTATGACATATTATGAACTATGTTTTATTTATGCAAAAATTAAATACAAGCTCAAAATATTTTGATTAAAATTAAAAGAAATYCTTGTACACGCACAACATACCAAATTAGTGTTTCCAACATAAATATTAAAGTGAATTGATCTATTATCAAAATTCAAAAGGTAGAACATTATCTGTGTTTGTTCATTGTTTTTTTTTCGCAACATTTTAATTTTCAAATGAGTTGTGCATGAATTATAATATTTCACATATTCATAAGACTTGACTGGCTCATAAATTTAAATATTGTAAAATAATCAATGTTAAAATTTTATTAAGTTCTTTTTTGAAGTTTGATAATAGGTCAAGTTATCGCCTATTGCAAACACTACAAAATTAGTACTTTTAAACTTTGATTTGGTAAATTGTACGTTTGATAGGCAAAAACAACATGTTAAGTGGGTTTTGTCAGTACTCCTTGGAATATTTAAGGAAATATAATACCATTTATATTTGTTCATGACTTAGTTAATTATAAAGGATTTACAATTTATTTATAGCAATTTTAGTTAGTAAACTATATTTAACTTTTTATAGTTATAATATGTTATATGTTATATCATTGAATTATATTAATAAACTAAACYCTGTTAAACTTAAAATATAGTTTGTAGTCAGCAGGTTATATATATAATGGCATAATGCTAATATAGCAATAACTCACTTAAATTTTCTTAAATCTGTGTGGTCCAATTTCAATCTGAGGCAGGTTAAATATTTATGTAAAGTAATTTTAATTTATTGWATAAGTGATGCTTCAGCGTTTTCTACTACTTTAAACATCATTAAATTACTGAGTATAAATTTTGAAATTTTCTCAATTTTACTAAGTTATAAAACATTATATTTACAATATATTTTATTCTCATACTAATATCCTAAGTCAATTAAATATTTATAAACAAACAAAGAATTCTAGAAAGCATATATAAAGCCTTTTGGTAACAATAATATAAATATTGAACTTTTAAGATACTTAATCACATTATAATAAAAAATATGAATATTCCTTAACACCTACATTTTTCATATAATATGTAATAATATATTTAATATTAAAATATTAATTTCAAATTGTGGTATTTGTTATGATTTATGATTATTAATTATTATTAGCTAACATCTACAAAAAAAATATGTTAAGTCAAAAGATACAATCATATCCTATTAATAAGGGTCAATATTATTAAAACTGAAAAATCCAATTTTAATATTGATCTGAATTATATTTCTAATAATATAAAACATATTGTTCATTGTTAAGGTACATCATACAACTCAATATTGCATTGTCATGGTGTATGAACAACAATTTGATTTTGAAATTGTATGTTTGAATAACAAAATATAYTTTGATAAATTAAATATTAATTTTTACATAATGAAAACCAAAAAGTCAGTTCCTACTTATCTTTAGATATACAGATATATTTTGTTTCTAAAATGTATATAAATAAATATATTTCAATAGAAAATTTATATTAGTATTATTTATTTATATTTATTCTATTAGTAARAAATTTGTACCTATTCTAAGCAATTTGTTTAAATCAAGGTAGATATGGTATATATATTTTTATATATCCACAATGGTACTAGAGCTCTACTAAGGGATAGTTCAGCCCTTATAAATTACTGAATTACAGTCTTTTATGTTTTATTTATATCAACAGTGGTGGCGCGAAATTTTTTCCACATGAAACAACCACCTTAAATAAGTAACCATCTACCAATTTTTTTCATACTTTATACTTTATTTTTCACTCATTATTTTAAATGCAGGACATATATGTCACTGTATAAATTTTAAACTAGTTTATCTGTCTAGGTCTTGAATACTGCAACTGACATTGTGATATCCACCCCCAAAATGTTCATGAAATGGCCGCTTCATAATATAGTTGATCACTCCGCTGMTGTAGATTAATTAACATTAAATAATTATAGAATCATGAAATAATTTTTTTATAATCTCAAAAATAAATTGAATATAAAAAAGCGATAAAGCAAGGAAACTAAACCTCAAAATTTCTTAGTGGTGCTCTGGTTATTGAAAATTGGTTGTGTCCTATAATTTTACCTAACTTCATACTGATTCCTATTTTTGTCAATAAATAATTAATGACTTCTGATCACATTTGTTTGTCATCTTAGTATTTTACCTTATCAATTACCTATAAGATTTAAATAATTTTGAAATATAAAATTGTGTGTACAGAAAAATCTATAACTTAGTTAAAACTATGAATTATAACTCATTGAAATTATGAAAATAAAAGATATTGAAAATAATTTATTACTAATTGAATAAATAAAAACTATATAGAAAATAAATATCAACTAACTAATAAGTTATAACTCTTCAACTTTAAACCTACAACATACAACAGGAACTTTAAAAATCAAAAAAAGGTATAGTTGGATATTAGTATGGAATATGGATATACTATATACATGACAATATTATGGTCGGAAATCGGTTATGCCAGTATAAAAAAAATGAGTTTAGATGCACCTATTTAGAGGTTCTAAATTATATTTTATTTAAATAGAGTTTTTTGGATTTCGAGGATTGATAAAATGTACAGCATTTGGTTGGTTTTATTGATATATTATTGTAATCGACCATCCAAGCGGCCAATTCATTAAAAATTATTTAATATTTAATGATTATTAAATAAAAATAATATAATATAATGTGGTTAGTGGTGTTTTATTTCCACGTGTTTTGAACAATGAACAAACTGTATACAGAGTGAACGTAAAACGCGTTCAATACGATATTATCTCGACAATAATATGTGTTATGTCCTTAATAGTATTTATTTATATCTTTTTCAGTTTTCAAATAAATAGCAGAAAACTTTATTATTATTATTATTATTATAAATATGATAACTAATATGAATACGTTGAATAATATACGTTATGACGTAGGTAAATTGATGTGTAATATGATTTACATGTATGACCTATGGGTATATAACACCTATAACATATATATA